GCCCTGCGCAGACGGGGTAAAAGCAAGAAAAAACGCCAACCCTGCGGCCAGGTCGGCCTTGTGTTCAACACCGCGTGCGTTTAAGGACTTGTGAGTGATGAACCCGTTTGGGTGAGAGGCGGGGTCGGCCGATCACACACCAGCGCGGAAGGCGAGGTCGCTGGCGGCGAGGCCGGCTGGGTGGTCACGTGTTCACGCCGGTCTGGTCCGCGGTTCGACCGTGCGGAGCGCTGCGTCCCATCCCTCGCAGTCCCGTCGCACTAGCTGGCGTCCGTCCGGCGCCGCCACAGACGGGGTCACCGGCGGAACGGCACCCGGCCCGGTGCTGTCTGCCCGCGCCCGGCTGAACACGCTCCGTCTGACACGCTGTGACCGGGCGCCCTGGATGACAGTCGGCGTCGACACCGGGACTCAGGTCAGGTCACGGGCCAGGGCACGCTTGCCATCGCCACCGCCGACCCCGCGCCGCCGCTGACCGCCGACTCCACAGGTGGCTCCGCTCGGCCTGGTCACACGCAACGCACGCCGGCCGCTGCCGGCATAATTTTTTATAGTCTCGTAAAAACAGCCTCGGGCCAGGGTCGAGTACAACGCCTGGACAATGGCGGGGTTCCCGAGCCGGTCGCGTGCCGTTCCCCGTGAGTGTCGGCCGAGCTACACGACCTCCGCGAGTGTACGGCAGGCCGCGCGCAGTCCAGCGGCGGTGGCGGACACCCGGCTGACCGTTCGCCGCGTGTCAGGCGGCCATCGCCGTGAGTGTCGGGTTGCGGCGGCGCCCCGCCGCTGCGCCCAAGAGCCCAGCGCGGCAAAAACGGCGCACGCAGGCGTCGCCGGCCATTCAGCCGCCACTCACGCGGCGGCCAGTTCATTTCTCATCGGCGTTTTTCGGCGCGCCGGGCGGCACCGGGCCGGCAGGGGAGGTGCCGCCCGGCGGCCCGACAGCCGGCTCGGTGCCGCCGCGTCCGCCCCGGCGTCACATTCTTGCGCCGGTCCGCAGACCGCCGACGCGCAAAAAGGCGACATTCTACGAGCGTCGGCGAAGAGACGGCAGCGGTCGTGAGACCACCTTCGGGGCCGGCCTGGACCGGGCTCCGCGCCGCGGAGGGCGCTCTGGACCGTCGAGGAGACGTGGGTGCATTCTCATGACCTTTCAAAGCCTGCAGAGCCGCGTGGTGGACTGCGCCCGCCGTCCGCCGGGCCATGGCATGCCATCGCAAGGCGAACATGCAGCCAAAAGGCAACGTGACGGATTAACATTTTCAGTAGCGTTGTACTGATATGGGGTGACACAGGCCGAAAATTGTCACTGGTATTGTTCAGTGCAGTTACGTGTGGTGATCATCTTTCAGGCGTCAGCACTCCAGTTCGCGGGCTGCCTTTTATGGAGCCACCAGGTACAAAATGGTCTGCAAAGAACATAATGTTATCGGAATTTACTTGCAGCAGCTTATTGCAATCGGCCAGCCCGGACCGTGTTCAATGTAGCACAAAATGGAACAAATCTTGTGCGCAGTGACCGAGACATAAAGTGTCTCATTCAGCTGACAGAGAGAGATACAGACGACCTAAAACCGTCCCTTTGTATCGAAACTGCCCTCTTAGATAAATGACAGATAGCACCGTCAAAAATGAGAGTCGCCAGCAGAAAACTCGGCCCCTAACACATGTCTGCTCCGACTTCCACACGAACACCGCCTGCACCATTTTCTTCCTCCCTTTCTCGTTCGCTGAAATCCACCTGATATATAGCGGGCGGCAGCTTGTAATGAAATAAGTCACCATTAGTTTCTGCACTGTCAGTGGGGAGGCCTTCTCGGAGTGTCAGCACCGGCCGCCGAGGCCGTGTAATTCCGCTGCCAGGAGAAGACGGATCGGTCCTCTTCTATTCCCCATCCCCGCTCCCCCCCCCCCCCCACCCCCTCCTCTCAGCCACCACGACAGGCAATGGAGCGTGGTCTGGCATCACAGTCGTCGGAGCTGTGGACCCCGACACGCGCCGAGCTCTTCACACGGTCACGTGGACTCCGGTGGTCGCGAGACGTCGTACTAAACAGCTGACGTGGCCGGCGTTGTGGTGTGTGTGGAGGTAGCGAAGTGTCCCATTCACCTGAGACTGCAAGGATGGCCCCGGATCTAGCGCCAGTCTCCCAGGGCAAGCTCCAGCCGGCACCATGAGCTTGCCCCCTCCCCCCCCCCCCCCATCCTGCCCGACTCCTCCCAATGCTTCGTCTCCAGGGAGTCGGTACCCAACCCAGAAAACGACGCCGTGGTGTCGGCGCGCGCGACAGCGCGCTTGCTCCGTGTCTGACGTGTTGAGCTGTCTAACGGGCCCATGTCCCACCGCGCGCCGCCCTCACCCCGCGCGACCTGCCGTGACCTGCCGTGACCTGCGTGCTCGCCGCCGCCGTCGGCGGCGCCCGAGCGCGCCGATGTGGGTTAGGGGTCAGGAGGTGGCGGAGGTCGCCGACCGGCCGGGGCCGGCGCGGGGCGCTAAACTGTGACCGTGTCAGCTCTGCACCCGCGCCACTTTCGCCACCGCACGAAGGTCGCGCCGCCAGTCGTCACGGCGCCGCGCGGTTTACAGAGCGTGCCGCCGGCCGGCGCTTTTTGCGCTGATTCCCAGGTATGCGGTCTTTTCGGAACGGCCCCTTTTCAGCAATTAATGAGACCCAGCGTCGGCGCAATGGAGATTATTACCATTCCGCGTTCCGAATACAGACAGGAAGCGGGATAAATACCGCCAGGAGGACGCTGAACTCGGGTAGTTCGAGCCGTTCCAGCATCTGCATACCGAAAACAGGCGATTGAGAGATGATTCGAACGGATGATTTACATAGCGAGCCACTTCCGGCGGATGGGCCGTAATAGGAGCTGGACGAATCAATTTTCGGTGGTCTGATTCCACGACGAAATCCCGCCGCCGTATGGGCGCCAGCCGGAGGACCCTGGCTGCCGCGTGGTGACGACAGGCCGAAGACGGACCTCTGTGGAGGGCCGCGGTATTGCGGTGCTCCGCGCGTAACAGGAGTGTTTCGGTAGTGGGCCTGCTCCGGTTCATGTCTCGAAGTCCCGTTACCATTATCGCGAGAGTTTACACTGCGAGCCACCTTCGCAGTTCCATGCATCGCCGTCAGGCGGCAGGCCTCGGCACCTCCGGTCGCTACACAGCCAGCTCCAGCTGACCTGGCGCCGCCGCCGGCCGGCTGGGCGAGGCCACTCTCTGGCACGTATGGGCGTCGCTGCCCTTCATGCCGGCAGCGCAGGGTGGACGCAGGGCGGACGCAGGGCGGACGCACTAGATGACGGCGGATAGCGGGCGGAGCGGCTGCGGGCGGGGGCGGGGGCGGTGCCCGCAGCCGGCAGCCGCGGCCGACGCCGCTGACCTGCCGTACCAGGCGACCGTCAGCCGTGCCGCCGGCCCGCCGCGACCGCCAGCACGGCGCGAGAGCGGACGTAGTGGCGCGCGTATTGATTCTCGGCCGGCGACAGCTGGGTTGTTAGGCCCGGCCGGCAGCCCTGGCGCCGCTGACTCACACCGCCGTCACAACACACTTGTCGGCCGACGGCTCACTGCCGCCGCACGCTCCGCTGAGGGCGGCGGCGCGCCGCGGTCCCGCCGCCCGCGCCCGCGGACCGCCGACGCCGGGCCCGGCGCGCCGCCAGCTCAGGCTCGTGGCGTCTGGGCCGGCCGCTCGCGCTGATCCGGCATGTGGCGCTAGGCCAGGCCGAGAGACTCACGCAAGCCAGGCGCGCCGCGTGATGCGGGGACGATTCGCGCCGTTGCTGCGTGAGACTTGGCCCCCGGCGCTGGCCCTGTGGTCCGCCAGTGGCGCCGCGGGGGGGGGGGGGGAGCCGGCCAGCGGCAGACTCAGTGGCTGTTAACCGTGCGAGACGCCGGCGAGCTCCCGGCTCTGGTGCGGGTGGCCTACCTGGCCAGGGGCGCTGCAAGCGACCGCAAACAACGTACCAATCCTAAGCAGTGCAGCATTCAATTCTCCCCCCCCCCCTCCCTCCACGCGCACGAATGGTGAATCAGCTCAGCCCCACACTGCGGGCCCACGCAACAGCCGGCTGGAGTCAGCTGCGGCCGCTGCCTGACTGCGTACTCGAGGCTGGAGGGGGGGGGGGGGGGTGCTGCACCGCGTGACTACCCCCCCCCCCCGCCCCCGGCAGCGGCCTGCTGTCCAGTCCAGCACCGGACAAAAACGGCGCGCCGGCTCAGTGCAGCTGAGATCGATGCCGCGGTAAAATGGTTTGGTGAAATTATCCGTGTTTCGGAACTTCCCATTAGTTTTTGCAAGGTATCGATTTGCCGGCCGCAGCCGGACGTTTGACGTGGCTCGATGGCCGCCGCGTTATAATTGATAGCGAGGGGGCGCCCATGCGTGAGATCGGTTGCCTACTACAGGCTCGAATCTCACTATGGAGGGCCGCGCACAGAGGAGCGCGGCACGCTCCACCCGCAGGCAGCTCCCGGGCCCGCGCCCGCTCTGATTCGCGGCCAGTGGGGAGCAGTTCGCGGCACAAGCTAACGCCTTTGAGCTGCATGCTTCAGTCTTGATTCTTCGTGAAGCAGGAGCGCCGCTGTCTTCGTAAGTGTTGACACTTGACCTCGCAAAGAGGTGTCTTACAGTGAAGAAGTGGTGACTGACTGAAGCCGTAATTTGGTCGGCTTTCGACTCATGGCGCTGCTAGAAGAGGAACAGCGAGGCGTCTTGGTCGATGACGCGGACGTCCCATCATCTGGTGCTGTGGGCTCGCTCGCACTTCGAGGGACGTACTCCGCCGCTCTCTGGAAGTCACTGCATGCTCTCCTTCCTTCCCGAAAACTATGCAAAAGTTTGCCAGCCCAAACGCTCGCAGCTCTGCCACAGCCGTCAAAAGCCCGCCAAGATCTTCAGCGCGCGTCTCGCCGGACCTGCCGTGAAGGAGGCGACCTGGGCTCCATCACGTGTCGGTTCAGCACCAGCTCCCCCCGCCGCCGGCGGCGCCAGACCCACCTGTTGCCAGCGCTCCTCCAGCGAGCAGGAGGAGAGGAAGCAGCCCTTGTCCAGGACCAGCTTCAGCTCCTGGAAGATGTTGCCGCTCGGGTACACATCCATGGCGACAGTCTCGCGACGACCCATAGGACAGGCGCAGACGGCGTCGCGGGCCGGCGGCACTGCGGCGGCGGCCCCTCGCAGCACGTGGCACCGTCAGCGACTGCCCGGCGCGGCCCGCTCCGCGTCGCCGGCGGCCGCTCCGCGTGCGCCGCCGTCGCCGACGAGCGCTGGCCTTGGCCGGCCCTCCGCCAATCGGCGCCGCCGGCCGCCGCGGTGACGTCATACGCCGGCCGGTCGCACCAATTAGGAGCGCGGCGGCGGCGGAGGATGTTTACGCGCCGGGTCTCAGGCGGCTGTCGGCGGCGGGGAGTGATCGTATCGTCGCTGAAGCTCGCCGGCAGGCAGTGAGGAGGCACTCGATGTTATCGCGGCCCACCCGCGAGCTGTGGACGGCAGGAAACGCAGCAAGACAGGCCCACTTCCGGCGCTGAATGCAGTCCAGAGTGCTGCAGACGCCAGCAAACACCGGAACAGTGCGGGCACAGTGCGGACACGCGGAGGCGGCGACTGAGGACGGCGAGCGGTCTTCTGCTGCCCGGAACCACAACACACCTGCTTGTGCCGACGCCTCCGACAGCCCGTCCGCGCGGGCGGCGGTGGCCAGGGTCAGCGTGGTTGTTTGACCTCTGATGGCACAGGGCTCGATGGGCGCCCCGCTGAGCGTCTGTGATGCTCGAGGGCGAGGGGAGAGATAAGACATGGGGCGATGGCCAGCTCACGCGCCGCGCCGCGCCGCGGACGAGGCGCTGGCGCTGCCGCTGGAATGACAGGCGAGCTGGGACTGATGGCGACGGCCGGGTCCTCCAGTGTCACAGCGCGAGCCGTTTGCGAAAGCCAAATACACAGCAAAAAGTTGGCATGCTGACAACCTGAGAGGAAACAGTCTGCAATCATATTCCGTGTGGGTGCAATCAGGGCAGCGGCAGAGGTTTGCATTGATTGGCGGCTACACGACCGTAATGATTGGGCTTACTCTGATTGTATTGTGTGCGGTATGGGGGAATGAATGTCTGCAGGCCGCACCGGGGTAGGACAAATGCGACATCCCGATGACCGGCCTAGGTCACAGTCCCTTACTTATGTGCGATCTGTGAAGCTCATGACCCGTGAGCCCCCAACTAAGCGCGTCCCCGAAAGACGCACGTGAAAGCGAATAGAAGACCCTTCATTGAAGGAGATCTAAACACAGGCTCTTCCAACTAGCCTTCATTTTGCCAAGCCTTTTTGGCCGTGGCTTGAGTGGAACCAACCATATCGTGGAAAAAGATGGCTGAAGATGGCTGGAGACGAGCCTTTTAGCCGAGGGCAAGGCCACAAATTCTGCTCTATCATTACCTAAACACGGGAGCAAACCGTCGCTGCCACAGACAGGAGCTGCGCCACGGCTTTCCGCACAGCCCAGCTGCTCAGCACACATGAGCGTGCTCCACCGCTCTTCACACACAATCGGTATGCATCACACTCTCCTCCATATAGGGAAACGTTTAATTACCACGACATATAAGGCGGTTGGCCACCTTTTCCCTTGTGGCGCTTTGCCGAATATGGACTCTCCATTTGGTGGTCCATTCCACCAATTCACCAAGCGCAGGTCTGCCGTTGTGTCCTTTCACCTCTTTTTTGACCTGTCGCACAGAATGACCGGCTCACCGCCGTCCCGCGCCGCGGTCTCCGTCGTTTGTCACACGTCGGGGCGCCGCCCCTTCGCTTGTAGTACATGAGGACCGTCGCATCGTTTGTCACGGCGGCGATGATATTCCGCGGAAGAAACCGCGTCATCGTTGTTTGCTTGCGTCTGACGGAGAGTCCACGCAGTAGTCACACATAACTACGGGGCTATGACGAGCCTGCAAAGGCGCGCTTGCCATTGATCTATCGCTCGCCCCGTGAGATGCGCCGAAATGACGACTCAGAGATACATGGCCAGCGTAGCTCAACGCAGTATGTTCATGCCATTTTGTTATAGCCACTACAGCGCAGCTAACGACGGTTGTTGATCTTTTACAGTGCGACGAGAAGCTATTTTTATAGTCGCAATTCAGGGCGTTAAGATTTACGACGCTTTCCGGGGCAGGTCTGGACCGGTCCGGAATGCTTCATCTCTCCAGCTCGCGCACGGTGCCAGCTTCCAGGGCGCCGCTGTTCCCGGATGAGCCGCCGCCAAAAATAACTGAGCGCCGAGCCAGGTGCAGGCGGCCCGTCAGTCATCCCCACATCAGCTGCGTGAGTCCGGCGACCGACGCGCCATCTGCACCGCGGACGCGCCCGACCCGCCGCCTACCGATGTAAAATGTAATCAGCAGTTGACGGCTTGTCCGGTCCGGATGAAGCACTCCACCGCGGTATCGGTTATCAGTCGTTGATTGCTGCCATCGCGTAGGCAGCAACCTTGCGTCATCCCATCCTCGGGGCACAAACAACAGGTGATGACATCGCCGAACATATCGCATCCCTTTATTAAACTTCCAATGGACTAGAGCCAATCTGGACGTTCATAGAGATTATCTCCGACAAGCAGATGCAGCAATCACTCGCGAACCATCGCCCCGATTCGTGCGGGAAACAGATCCCAGATGAAATCTCGGCCAGTTCAACAATGTAAAACGCCTGGGACCAGTTGCGTCGCTCCATCCAACACAAAACAGTCATCTCCTCCATCCCGCGGGGACGCGCCCGCGGGGCCGGACTCGCCCTCGCACCACAGGGACGACCCCTGGTCGAGGTGGTGTGCCGGACGGCGGCTCACGGGCGGGTCGCGTCCCACAGCGTGACGCCAACCGCGCCAGGCGGACATCACAGTTAACAACAGTCAGCGCTGCCGGCCGGAGCGGCGGCGGCCGCCCCGTCGGCACACAACAAATACACGCACAAGCGCGGTCAGACCACGGCTACCAGGCAACGCACACGCTTGCACGCAAGCAGACACGCACACGCGCACGCACGTGCACGGATATATAAAGATAGTGGTTATGGCGGCTTAAACCGGCCGCCCATTTGGCTCTCCATCTAGCATTGACTACGTTACGTCCGGGAGCCTGCTCGGCCGGCAGCAGGCGCAGCCCGCGGCGGCGACAGTCTCGCTACGCTGCGCAGGCGCCGACAGCCTCTGACAGTGCCGCGCTGGGAGCAGGCACACGCTGATATGTCAGAGAAGGGACGTCCCCGTCTAGCATCTCGTAGTAAAACAGCTCTAAAAATTCGGGGAACGCCGGCAGACGGGTAGCACAGACAGGGCCGCGGGCAGGGGCCGACGCGAGGCCCCGCAGATTCTTGCGGGCACAAGCCACGCGCACCGACGGCGGCGGCGCCCGACACGGTCAGGCGCGGTCGGCCGGGCCGGCGCGCAGCTCAGCACGCAGCCCCGACCCAGGGCCGCTCCGTCCGCGCCAGCCGGTCCGCGTCCGTGCGCGGCGCGGCGCGGCGCGGCGCGCGCGCTATGGCACGACGGCGCGCCGGTCGGCGGTGGCGCCGGTAAGGTCACTTGGCACAGGGGTGGCGCTGCAGCCGACTAGGAGGGCGGCTCGGCCGGCGGCAAGCCGGGCCCGTCCGGGCGCCGCTCGCGCGCCAGCACCGCCAGTACGTCCTCCGTCCGGGTGAGCGCCTCGAACAGCGGCAGCCGGTCCCGCAGCTCCGTGTCGGCCATGTCGTCGAACCACGACTTCACCGCCACCTGTCGGCAGCCGAGCGAGGCACAGTTTCAGGCGCCGCCGCCAAACGCGTTCGCTGCCCACCGTCCAATGGTACGGAGTGGTGAAATTATAAGGCTGTGAGGATCGACGGCTTGGCCGTATGACACGCCAAGTGTATGCCGCGCACCGCAGACAGCTGTGAAAAGGTACCTACGCGGTGAAGCCGCGACGGAATTCGGTGTTACGTCACTCCGTCGTCACTCACGAGTGAAAAGTAACTCCAACCCTCAGGCAACATTCAACGTCCCCCAACACGTGCTGAGCAGACATGGACGGTCGTTCAGAGCTGAACACTGAAGACGCCGATGGTTCTGCTCATGCGAAGCATATGTTAGCCGGGCGGGTCGAAGCCGCAAACGGGACCGAAATGATCGCGATAATGAAGGGAAGCGCGGAGATTGGGGAGCGAAAGGACCGGGGACGGGGGACGGGACTCACACGGATCGGCCGGCTCCCGGTCAGGATGGGTGTCTGGCTCCAGTGTCAGACCAGGACACAGGGACGGCGCCCTCAGGCCCGCTCGAGATGCCGGTCGGATAAGGTGGCTGCCGTGGATCTGGTCAGGATCAGGTCGGACGGAAAGCCTGTGGGATTGCGTCAGATGCAGCGATGGGGTCCGAGCAGCCAAACTTCATTCATTCAGATCCCTACGAGTTCTGGGTGTTCGGAGCGGTGGAAAATGCCCGGAACAGCGGAGCCGAGTAAATAAGCTAGGACGCACACGCGGTAATACTCCGCGATAAGGATGCGCGAGCAGGCATCAAATCCGGCCTCGTTGACAACAGCAGCTGCAGAAGCAGTCTCAAAACTCCCACAACCCACACCGGCACTCATAAACCCATTCGCACACGAACCATCCATAGGCCAACTACGGCCAGTTGCCTCAACCCCGTGACCCACCCAGCCCGTTGAATACGACAATCACCGCGCGCCCCAGAGCTTCGCCAGCATCAGGTCCGCCACCACGGGAAGAGCAGGCAGCACCAGTGGCCCTGACCCCCGCCCGACGCCGGCGGCACCCACCGCGTTCTCCGGGTGGAAGATGTAGGAGGCGGGCGAGTTGTCGACGATGACCACCCGGCGCAGGTCGCGGCCGAGCCGCTCCAGGTCCTTGACGTAGTTGCCGCGGTAGAAGACGCACGACTCGCGGAACAGTCGCGCCCGGAACACGCCCCACTTGTCCAGCAGGTCGGCCACCGGGTCAGCGTACTGCGGGGTGGGGCGGGTCAGGTCAGGTCAGGACACGCCCACTTGTCCAGAAGGTCAGCTGCCTGGACAGTGTACCGTGGGTCAGGTCAGGTCAGGTCAAGTTAGATCAGAACACATCGCACTTGTCCAGCAGGTCAGCCGGCCACCGGGTCAGCACACTGCGGAACAGGCCAGGTCAGGTTGAAGCACCACCCACCCGTTGTCAGGGTCCAGCGCCTGGTCCGAGTCCGTCCTGAGGGCGGGCCACGTGAGCTCGCATCACACGCAGTGGCGCCGTCTCGGCTCGGCTTCACGTACACGGGGCCGGGCGGCCGACACACACAGTCCACAGACCACGCACGGACACACGCCGTCCGACCGGTTCCATCTGACATCGAGCTATCCAATGCGGCATCGGACAGCCGTTCTCGCACGCACACGGGCAGCACCGACGAGGCCGCCGTGCCGTGTTCACGCCGCCCGCGCGGCCATGGAGCCGTCCTGGCAGCCGGCCACGCGCACGGCCTTACAGGGAGGAAGGGGGGGGGGGGGCGCCTCTCGTCAGTGGCCGCGCGTGCTGGTGACAGACTGCGCGCTCGGCGCCCGGCACGCTCCCGGCCAGCCTCGAGCGGACGCTGACCGGCCGTGACCTGGCCACGAGCGGAGGCACTCGGCCCACACTCCGGCGACGCTCGCGAGTGACAGGGTGGCGCAGCCGGGCCCTGGAGAGCGGCGCCCGGTCCCAGGGCGGCCCCAGCTGCACACGCCCCGGTACCGACGCAAAGCGAACCAGGGACGACTCTGCAGCAGCTGAGGGCGATTCTCTAGCTGTAACGGCCTCCGGTCATCCCGCGGAAGAGCCCGTGGGTTCGCTGGCGAAGCGCAGCTGCGGCCTTTGACCGGCGCGCCGCCACTGCGAGCGGCGTCTCGCCGATGGGATGGCACGTCTGCTCGGATGCGCTTCTCTACTAGCGTAAACATTTACTGATCAGCTGCCCGTCAATCACCATTAGCTCCCGACGAGCGTCTGGCCGGCCGGGTCTGGCGCAAGAGATCAAGCGTCCCCCCCCCCTCCGGAGCACACCCCAGGGATCTCCCCAGACGGGGTCGTCCGCGCGCTCACCTTGGCGAGGCTGGCGGTGAAGAGAACGCACTCGAACATGTCGCCCATCTTCTGCAGGAAGTCGTCGACGTGCGGCCGCTTCAGCACGTACACCTGGTGGACGGCGCCGTCGATCTCCACCGGCACGATGAAGTCGGCGTTCGGGATCGGCTGCGGCGGAGGTGCCGTGTGAGAGCGCGAGCGGTGCACCCAGCTGATCCTGTGATCGCAGCGCCCGGCTTCAAGTCACGCGACACGACATTCCCCCGGCTCCGATCTTCACCAGCGCGCAGCAGCGGAAACGCGGACGGCGTCCGACATTCCATACACGCTCGAACAAAAAATCAAAACAAAAAATCGCTGTGCGGTGCGGCTGGCGAGGCGGCCGCTCGCGACAGCCGGCGGACAGAGGTCAGCTGCGGCGCCATTTGTGTCCGGCCGCCGCCGCCCGGTCCACTTCACAGAAGCCGGCGTAACAGACGGCTCGGTGCGGCGAGCTGACAGCCGCTGCCGCACCGGCCCTGTCCTCCGCCATGTTTGTCGGCACTAGACACACATTATCGCCACCGCATCGGACATTTCGCCGAACGTGCTCGGGGCCCCTGCATATCGTCAGCCCGCGACGCTCCCGGGACGCCGACGTCAGACGCCTGCAGCGCCGCCGCCGATGCCACTCGGTATCTGTATAATTCGCGGGGTCGGACGGCGCCTGCACCGGCTCGCGAAGCAAGAACGCCGCCGCCCCGAGCGGCCAGCGCGCCTCCGGGCCCGACCCACCCGTCATTCACGTGACAGACCCAGCTCCAATTACGCTAATTAATAACGTTGCGGGCGCAAAGCCGTCGGCGTGTTGGCGTGGTGCGGCTTCATCACGCCAGGCAGCATTCCTGCGGGCTCGTCTGGCGGGGCCCGACCGTGACGGCGGCCGGCGCGTGCTGCCGGCCCCGACCCCGTCCCTCGTCCCCGGCGCCGGCCGCCCGGGACCCGGCCGGGCTGGGACGGTCGGCGGCGCGTGGCTGCCGGCCCAGACCCCGACCCCCGACCCCGTCCCTGGTCCCCCGGCGCCGGCCGCCCGGGACCCGGCCGGGCTGGGACGGCCGGCGGCGGGCCCGGACCGGCGCCGCCGCCGCGCCAACGGCGGGCCACCCACGGCCCTGTCGGCCGTAACCAGCGCCAGACGGCCGGCGTCGGCGTGTCGAGTTCACGGAAACGGCGGCCGGGACCGTCCCCCATGCCCCTCGACCCCCGCCCCCCCCCCCCCCCAATCGGCTCACCTTGAATGAGCTGTGCACGAGCGTCTCGTCCAGGTCGATCACCAGGCAGACCCTGCCCATGTCCTGGTGTCGGACGGGCGGCAGCAGGAGGCCTGGCGGCGGCGGGCCGGCCGACGGCGCCGGCGCCACCTTCTCGCCGGGACCGGGCGGCGGCGGCGTGGGCGGCCGGGAGCCATGCTCGCGGCCCAGACAGCAGAGCAGCGAGCGCAGCAGGCCGCGCGGCTTCCTCACCCGGGCGGCTGGCAGCTGGCCTGCGGCGTGGCACGGCACGGCGTCACGACCGGCAGGCGCCCGCACGGCGACGCACGGCGGCACAGCACGCGTGCGGCGTCACAGCGAAACGGCATACACGTACCGCCGTGTCAGCACAGGTCGCTATCACAGCGGCGTAGCGCGAGCACACCGCCTCAGTCGCACAGCTCAGATGCACCGGTCAGCCTACAGAGAGAGAGACACGTAGTGTCGCGGAGAAGGTACCGTGTAACGTTTTCCCTCTCCCTCCCATACGACGGTGGCCGCCGATAGGACTGCCGTATCCAGGGCCGCAGTATTCTGTGTTATCTATTCCTGGGGTCGTCCGCCCGGCTTCCGAGGACGCGCCGTCGGTGCCTGTCTGCCGCCGACGGCGCCTGACCGCAGAACGCGCCCTCAGGCGGGGCCCGGGGCGCCAGCCGGCGGCGGCGGTGCTGGCCCGGGGCCGGGCCGGGCCGCCGTGCGCCCACGCAGCGAGCGGGCGGCCCGCCGGCCGCGGCACACGTGCGTGTCGAGGAGCCGTGTCCTCGGCGCGCGCGGACCTCCGACCACGACCTTGACGCCGGAGATGGTCGCTCGGGACCGCCGCGGACGCGTCGGCGGCGGTGTGGGCGGCTTTAGTTCAGCTCAGAGGCTGCCCGTCGGGCGCTCATTCGACATTCCTGACCAGATGCACGAGCTCTTCTAATAGCCTGCAATTTTGCCGCCACCGGGCCCGCGGCACTGTGCATGGAAAGAACCAGCACAACAGCCTTTGGGCAGTTCATCCCTTCAAAATATGACAGCCCGGCTCGGAACGCCGGCCAAGATAGTGCGATCCGAACGGACTCCATGGCACTGACAACATGGCTCATAGCCAAGAACGAAAATCAACAGCACATGCTCACTTGTGTTATGGTACGCCTGACAGCAACCAGCCGCCACGCGGCCAATATCGATGCACTAGGAATGAGCGGCAAAACCACCATTCGCGCAGCACTAACATATGTTAGTCCGCGAGTGGCGGCCGACTGGCCGGCCTAGCCCGGGACCGCCCACTCCAGGCGACACACACTGGCTCGGCACAGGACGACGCCAGTGCGGCCGCACCGACATCCGCGCGGTGTCCGCCCCCGCTCGGCGGCCGCGCCGCCCGGTCCAGCTCCGGCACGTGCGCGGCGCTGCAGACGGGCGCGTGCCGGCACGCCCGCCCCGCGCGCTGACCGCCCACGCCAGCCGGATCAGCGGGCCGACCGGACCTGCCGGCCGGACCTGACCGGACCTGAACCGACCGGACCTGCCGGCACCCGCGGCGCACGCACGGCCGGCCGCCCCGCGGCGCCGGGCCGGCCCCCGGCGACACGACGGGCACGCTCACTCGGTACCGACTCCGGACAGGAACGTTTGCAGCGCGCGTGACGAACGGCTCCAGTTAAATCGATTTGTGGTTGTGGGCAAACATGGCGCTCATTGATCTGTGTCAGATGAAGAGGTGTTTCCCACTGCGGTGCTTTTTTCAGGCTACGATGGACACGCGGTTTGCTTGCCACCCACACACTGCTTAACAAACTGAGCATCTCAACAAAAATTCGCTTCACGGAGATGTGACTCTTGATGCAAGTTCAAGATAGCTGCACCATCGGCCAAATGTGCGTGAGGAGCTTTAACATTGCATCCTGACCTGTTCCTTTTCATGCAACGTCCTTTCAACTCTACAGAGATCAGAACTTGGCCTGTTTTGGCACAGCCGTAGTGCAACGCATTTCATGGTGCAGGAGCTGCTGACAAGATAAACTTGAACAACACTAGATATACAAAATAGCCCAAACAACCTTAACGATTTGTTATGGGTCGGTCCTCAAGGAGTTCGCTCAAATACAAGAATCAGGAGACCTTATAAAGGCACACATTTTCAGCCGTCAGGCCTGGAGTTATCTCATGCACGCTTTCCCTTCCAAAGCCAATAATTAAACACAGTTTCGACCTTAACATAGACTGAATACGAAACAGACACCACTTATTGGTGCTTCGTTATGGGAACATTTTATTCAACGTCATTTCAGCCAAACTAGTCTTTGTTGGGGTTAAAAACTGCTTCATGGATTGATAATAGTCTTCTTTTTTTTTAAAGATTTAACCCGAACCCTCTGAATGGATGGATTTCTGGGACCAGAGTTTACGTCAAAGAACGCTTGTTGTACGAGTCCTGACCTCCAACAACCAAACGCGCAACTCCAGGTCAACAGCAGAACTGGCGGCGAAAGTTTAACGTGTCGCGATTCTCGGCACAGTCCATCCTGCCCTATGACGCCACCTGACCTTTAGCGCCGTCGCTGCTTCCGGCCACACATGTCAAGGGCAAATAACGAGCGCCTAAAGCGACTCGAACCCACCACGCCACTGGTGGATGGATTGCTCTACTAAAAGAGATAACACAATCTTGGAGCATGAAAGATGCACTCCCCATTTCTATATATATGTCACCATGAGAGTAAAACGAAAGAATAACCATCCATCACACAGAGACAGTGCTGGAAAAATTCCAGTTTCCTGGTATAATGTACACCAGGAAATTTTGTACTCCGCGATTGTGACTAGGTAAAATGAAATATTGATGATGAACTCCACTATGATGAAACAAAAACAGGTTTTGGAAAAACTCATTTTGCCTCTCTGTTTCAGGCAACATGAAATCAGAAGATACAACAGCTTGGGAACTGCTGCCTCCATCATGAGCCATATACTGATATCTGCAAGACCACAAATCCTGCATCCACCAGACTTGGAACAGCCTGTGCTGTGACCTCTGTGACAGAGAAGTTCCTGATCATTATATACAACTAGGAATGTTACATTATGAGACATTCAATTTCCATGGGACAAATCATACCATTATATTACCCCATTCCATTAATTCAATTGCCTTCAAACTCTATTGCCCATTATGTTGCCTTTTTAGTTTTTGGGACTGTACATAAAGTCTGCTGCACATGGATGGGGAGGTGGGACGGAGTGTAACAGGTATGACAATTGATGGACAGAATGATTTTGGACAGTGTAAAAACATGCTCATTCTGGTGGTTGTGATGCATGTTAACATATTTTAAAAATAAAACCACAAACCTGGATACAGTTGGCTGCCTTTTTGACAAGGGACACATCTTTTGGTGTTAACATTCCAGCTAACTTAATATCCAAACAAACCTTACTTCTTATCCATTGTGCAGCATAACCAGGGAAAAGGGGAAGGTCACTCAGGGCTACCCATGAAACCAAAGCATAACCCAGGAATGGAGCACTGAACGTGCTGAAAAGCTATAGCATGGTTTGGGGATGATCCCTTACGCAAACTTCCACTGATACAGTGCTTTGCCAGCAGGGGACAGGTAGCGCTTGGTCAGCCAATTGGTGATATGAAAAGGCAAAAGAGCCAGAAGTAGTCAACATTCCTGCTTTATGCCAGAAGAAAAATGGCTAGAAATTCAAGAGATTTGGCCAACCTTGAACATTGCCTTGAACACTTCATACATATACCTAAATTGATGTTTCAGCTTTCTTGGATATACCTAAATGAGCACTGCTAGCCCACCCAGTACATAATTCTCATTACCACAATTTGAGCATGGTTGGTCACTGTAAATCTCAGCAGTAATGTTGCCAGGGTATTTTGGCTGCCTCAATCATGACAAATAAAGCAACCATGCCACCTAAATCTGTGACCTCATACTGACCAGTCATTTTATGCTGACTGATACATACTGGTATCCAATCCACCAGCAATATCAACAAATGATAGCAATCATGCATGCTAGGATGTGATTTTATAGTGTCAGTGTAGGTATACACTGATACCTGTTAGAAAAAATCATTGTACATCATTTGTTGTGTTTAATATACCCTGACCATAGTGTCTGCAGCTGTCTCCATGTCAATGTTAACAGCCACACTGTGTCAGTGCAGTCTCATTCATCAGTCATCTTCCTCCCATTGATGGATAGGTACTTCCTGGCACCTACACCACTAGAAAAATGGAGAAATGATGGAGATTAAGCCAGATATTACATGCTAAGAGATAAATGCAGCACATCATGCGAGCCTGATGCCCATAATTTTCTGGGTAAACGGTAAAACACAGCACAATGTACGTACTACACCGTTTATTTACATTTGAGCATTGTTGACGTGGGCGTGAACGTCCCGTCCAACAATGCGCCACGAACGCCGCACCGCGTACAAACAGCGTTTAGTATAACACACTCACCATTCTCCGGATGTCCTTTGACATTGCCGTCTTCTTTTTTTACTTGTGTGATAACAGTTTCTGGGTCCATCAATCCCTGCGCCTAACACCGGTCCATTTCGACTAAAACTACTCCCCGCGATGCAAGATGGCGCGCAGCTTGGCAGGCCGCCGACCAGCCTCCTCCACAAATTATTCACGCAGCACTATCCACAAGGCCATCGATTATGCCTTAAGTCCCTTCAGAGCGTTCACAAATGCCAAGCCTCTCAGACAACGGGCCGTGAACACCTGAGAGCGCAAGCGACCTCCACACCTGTCACCGCGCCCCACTGCACTGACTTCGCACGGGCGACTGCAGAAACGCGATCTCGACGGGAGGTCGGCTAGCGCGTGCGGTGGGCGGCCCGCCGCGTCTGATCGGTCGGCCCGGTATACGCCTCCGGTAAACCAACATCTCCATCGATACGACAGCATAGGATGACTGATGTATTCAAATTCTGGCATATGACGGCTTGAACCCAACGCGAGTGTGATGTGATGCTCGAATCGTGACTCATGACTGGTATGGGCCAGCGGCGAGCAGCAGATTCCGTCGCGTGAAATGCAGGACCAACACCGGTGTGTGCTTAGTGGCGAACGAAGTCAGCAGGAGATCAGAACTAGTTTTAACTTCGCCTGCCTGGGCGACGTTCAGATCCTCGGACAGCACGTCCTCGGTGGTTTTCTGGAAGTCCCATAGCTTGATGCAGTCGTCCATGCCACCTGAAAGTTCAAACCAAAGCGCGTGATCGTCAAAGTAATTGCTAGCATGAGAATGGCAGGGAGAGACTGCACACTCGTACGCCAAAAATGTGTTAAGAAACATCTTGTTATCAGCACAACACAGTGTTTTATAGCATGTCTAATCCTAAATGCCATCCCAGAAATGGTAGGATCAGCCTAATTCCAGCCGACCGCCGGTGCATCGCTGCAGCCATTCGAGCTTACGGCGCGGCCGGGCTGCCTCAGCGTTCCGTGGGCACGCTCCTTGACGCCGCTCTGTGAGCCTGCACACACTGTACGGGGGAGGAGGGAGGGACGAGAGGAGACAGGGGACGGCGGGCACGGGCTGACGGGTGACGGGCCGTCAGCAGCGCCGTCTGGCGGCCTCTGGCCGTGTCGGCCGCACCTGAAGCCAGCACGGCGCCGTCCCGGCTGAACTGCAGGCTGTAGACGGTGTCGGTGTGCTGGGCCAGCGCGCTCAGCAGCTGGCCGCTGGCCAGGTCCCAGCACAGCACCGCGCTGTCCGCCCCGCTCGACACCAGGAACCGGCCGTCCGGCGAGAACGCCAGCGCGTACACCGTGTCCTGTCGGCCAGAGCGTCCCGCTACACACTGTGTCCTGTTATCGTGCGCTGTCTAGCAGCACATTGTGTTCTACCTGGTGTGCTGTCCGAGTCCGCTGTATCTCGCTACAGAGCGCCGCCCAAGCACTCTTTTTGCCCAGTACACTGTCTTAGTCCGCTGTATCCCACTACAGTGACCAGCCCGAGCACTGTCCAGGTCCACTGTTTCGGTCCGCTGTATCCCACTACAGTGCCCCGCCCAAGCACTGTTGCTGCCAGGTCCCATGTCTCAGTCCACTGTATCCGGCTAAGGTACTCTAGATTGTGATCTAATGCAGAACGACGCCTGAGCGGGCGGTGCCAACACAGGGGAGAGGAGGATTTTTATTACTTTCAAGGGTGTGAATCAAAATTTTAGGCGCATTGCAATTCCACACCCACACATCCAGAAACACGGAACAAGGCGGGGGTGGGGAAGGGGGAGGGAGCGAACGCATCCTCACACGCACCGAAAGTTTCTTTTGTGATACCCACACGCGAGACCACCGGTCCTATTTCAGATGGGGTTCTGACCACCAACTTTGCTGACATTGCCCCGGAAAGTCAATAGACCATAACCATATACTCACGGCAGAATCTTCTCACATGGAGCGATCCAGTCATTTCAAAAAACATTGTCATATCATGACAGTGAATTCAGCAGCTCATACTTACCCCGCCCGAGCCCAGAGCAAAGACAAACCGACGGTAAAGCACCGCAGAGGCCACACTGGGCCCGATTCAGAGCACGGCGGCGGCGGCGGCGGCGGCGGCGGCGGCGGCGTCCCGGCCCGTGACCTGACCCCTGACCCCACTGACCTTGTGACCGGTGAGCACGCGCACGCACGAGCCGTTGCTGACGTCCCACACACGGACGGAGCGGTCGCTGCTGCCGGACGCCACGTAGTTGGAGTTGGGATGGAACTCCACACACTGCCGAACGGGACGCGGGCGTCAGGCCTCACGAGCGGCAAAACAGCGTCGTACGCGGCGTGACTGCCGCCTCGGCCACGGGCTTCAGCCCTGATGCGTTGAAAGATGACCCAGTACGCAAATCGCTGGTGAGGAATCGGAGGAACCGAAGGGAGCTTTAGAAGCCAGCATAAAAACACAATATTTAGCTGGATTCACAGGAGTTTGGGTCGCACGCTCCGCCCATTGCGTCAGCACTCCGATTTAGACGTTATGGCCGATAACAAGGAGCAGATATAGAAATATTTCGGTTGTTCGAACTTTGCTGGTGCTAAAAAAGTATTTTTTGTATAGTCATATTTGACTCGTTCTTCTAAACAAAACAATAACAAAACACCTTTCGTAGTCCAGGCCATTTACAAGGAAAACACCTCTATTAGGAATAAAGCAGATACGATTCTGAGACACCATGTTTTTACGAAAAGCAGCTGGATTTCGAGAGCCACGTCTGCATAATGACGTTTAAAAAATGTTCATCGATGACTTTCCAACCATGCCGACACAAGCCCAGAGGATGCGCCAGGACTGGTGTTGATGAGGTGGACAGCTCCCCGATCCTTGACGCCTACACAGCGAGCTGATCGCGACCGGAGGTGATCCGTGCGTGCCAGGGGAAGTCTGGATAGCGTATCCCTATGCTGGCCCTTAAGATGTTGATTCAGAGGGATCTGTTCACGCTCACATCGGCATGGTGTCCAGCCATGGCCTGGGCTATGTGCCCGTGGCCTACTCACGTCCAGATAGGCACAGCGCCCGGCCGTGATGTCCATGTGACCCTTGGCCTACCCACGTCCACAGAAGTGTCATGTTCACCCATACCCTTGACTATGTAACCATTGGTCTACCCGCGTCCAATCAGCGAAGTGTTCAGCCATGACCTAGTCTATGTGACCCTTGGTCTACACACGTTCACATCGGCGAAGCATTCAGCCATGACCTTGTCTATGTGACCCTTGTTCTGCCCATGTCCACATCAGCAGTGAACCTTGACTTCGTCCATGTGATTCATCGACAAGGTCAAGGTGACTCAGTCCACAATGTGACCCAGCAGTGGACCCATGACCTTGTCTAAGTGGCCCTTGACCCACTCATGTCCACATCAGTGTAACGTTCAGTCATACCATTTGGCTATGTAACCCTTGGCCCACTCCAGTCCACATCAGCCAAGTGCTCAGCCATGACACTATGTGATCCTTGGCCTACTCACGTCCGCATCAGCGGTGCCCATGACCTTGACTATATGACCCTTGGCCTACTCACGCCCACACCAACAGTGTCCAGTCATGACCTTGCCAGTGTGACCCTTGGCCTACCCACGTCCACACCAGCAGTATCCAGCCATGACCTCTTCTATGTGACCCTTGACCTACCCACGTCAACATCAGCAGAGTCCAGCCATGACCCTGACTATGTGACCGTTGGCCCTCTCACGTCAGTGTGTTATTAGGGCTTTACAACGCATTCAGTTGTCGAGGCTATAAGGCGTCGCCTGCCTCTCACCCTGAAAAGAAAGGTGGGCACCACGGGGCCTTCCCACGTCCACACCAGCGAAGTGTTCAGCCATTACCTTGGCTACGTGGCCCCTGGCCCACGTTTGGCTATGTGGCCCTTGGCCTACTCACGTCCACATCCGCGTAGTGTCCGGCCATGACGCGCAGTGGCTGGTGGTGGTCGGTGGCCCAGAGTCGGACGGTGCGGTCGTGGCCGCCAGAGCAGAAGTAGTGGCCGTGCGGCGAGAACCGCACATCCCACACGGGGAAGATGTGTCCCTTGTAGCACACCAGACACGTCCAGGTCTGCAGCGACCACAGACGAACTGCGGGACACGGCACGTCGCTCCGGTCACGGCACGGCACGGCACGGCACGGCGCTCGGGTCACGGCACAGCACGGCACAACACGGGCAGAGGCAGGGACTACACGTACCGAGACCGTATCGCTCGCTACAGGGGAGACGACAGAGAGGCAGGCTTGGGAAGGTGTCAGCACCGACTCGCCCCCCAAATCAAAGCCTACAGTCCCCCACGAGTACTTGATCTACCCAACATAACACCTTTTGTAAAGGCCTGACTTAACCCCATCCACCTTGACACCGTGCTATCTATGGCGGCCAAGATAAACAAAGATCAAAAGAAATAGGATTAGAATTAACAAAAACATTGGTTCTGAAGCCCAGCCGTAATCAGGATGCGGTCGAGCGGTACACCCACCAGGTGCACCGCTCAATCGTGACTCGATGCTTTCCCACGACCAATGGGCGGTTTTAGCGCTGGGAACAGGCCGCACAGCGTATCCCGCGCCCGTGCATACAGCCTTCAGCACAAAACCCACCGAGGTCCTACCGAGATTTGAACTCGGATCGCTGGATTCAAAGTCCAGAGTGCTAACCATTACACCATAGGACCGGCCGCCGCATCTGACGGCCGACCGTTCCCGACCGCGCGGCTCCGATCGATCCGCCGCCGCGCTGGGGGAGGGGGAGGGGAGGCGCCGCACCTAACGGACGGCCACAGCCGTCGGCGGACAGTGAATGTCACCGCCCACTTCACAGCGGACCGCTCCACACAGCAGTCAGGGCGGGTTTAGTCGACCCGGTGGGCTCGGCCCCACCGCCGCGCCACCGTAAAACCAGCCGGCGCAGCCCGCACGGCGCAACCGCAGTCTCCAAAGCCATCACTCGCCCCGGGACCAAGCCGCTGCCGCCACTCTGTGTGTAATTACAGGGGGAACTCATCGAAATAGACACACGCATCTCACTCGCATCGTAACGCACACACTCCTGCCACTTCACAGGAGTCAGAGAAGCTCCCACCACCCAGCGGCTGTGAATGTATCGCTGCCATCCTTCGACACAACCACCACCTGGTCCCTATACTGATGCTCCTCTATCTCTTCCCCAATGCTCGCATTATTCCACACTAGTTCAGCACCCCAGTTCACAACAGCAGTTCGCCTCCCGAGGGCCACTGCAGCCTGCCCTCCCACCGGTCCCGGCAGCGACAGCCGGCCGGACCCGGTCGCGACCACAGCCCCCCCCCCCCCCGCACGGCAGCGACCGCCAGCGCCACCTACTGGTGCCGTCCTCGGAGCAGGTGAGCAGCAGGGTGCGGTCGGGCGAGAAGCTGACCCCGTGCACGGGGCCCGAGTGGCCGGCCAGCGTGCGGCTCTGCTCGGCCGACCTGTCGTCCATCATCCGCACCAGCACGTCGTCTGCGGCCGGTCGGGGCGCGCCGTCAGAGGTCAGATGATCAACAGGTCAGATAACCGACAGGTCAGACGGCCGACAGGTCAGACGGCCGACAGGCCAGACGGCCAACAGGTCAGACGGCAGACGAGTCAGACGGCGGACAGGTCAGGCGACCGTCTGGTCAGACAGCGGACAGGTCAGACGGCCGACAGGTCAGGCGGCCGACAGGTCAGACAGCGACAGGTCAGACAACGGACAGGTCAGACGGCCGATAGGTCAGGCGGCCGACAGGTCAGACAATTGGCAGGCCAGACAGCAGACAGGTCAGACGGCCGACAGGTTAGATGGCCGACAGGTCACACGGCCGCCAGGTCAGGTGGCGACAGGTCAGACAGCGGACAGGCCAGACAGCGACAGGTCAGACAGCAGACAGGTCAGACAGCGGACAGGCCAGACAGCGACAGGTCAGACAGCAGACAGGCCAGACGGTGACAGGTCAGACAGCGACAGGTCAGACGGCGGCTCACCAGCCACGTGCTAGGCCGGGTGAACACATCAGACCACGGCGAACACATCGCGCGGCAGGCGAAACCAGCCGAGCAGTGCTCCCAAGCACCGGCGGAGCAGCCGCGGCGCAGCGCCGCTGGACAGTACCGGCGTCCTTGTCGATGTCGGCCAGGTCGTCTGCCGACTTCATGGCGCGTAGCTTCTGCGGGATCAGGCTCCACACGCGGACGGTGCTGCTGCTGAAGCCCACCGCCATCATGCTGCTGTCCTCGCACAGCGTCACACAGCTGACGCTGAAACAGCAGCAAACGGCTGTGGGCAGTTGAACCGGCCGCACAGAGCGACACAGCAGCGCGTGGTCACGCGGCTGACAATGAAAAGGTAATTTAACTGCCACATGACTGACACCACAGCAGAGTCACATAGTATCACACAGATGATAATTAAACAGTACAAGGTAAAATGCACAAGACGTACGCAGCACCACACAGGTGGCGCTGAAACAGCAGATGGCACCAAAACGGCGGCACACAGCGGGACACGGGCGTTACTGGTACACCTTATGCCTGGCAGTGAAATGGCGTCACACAACTGACACTGAAACATAAGGTCCTGCACATATCAAAACAGTATCTAACGTCACATGGTTCACACAGACACAAGTAGTATCAGCTACACAATACCGACCACCACACAGCTGATACTGCAATGACGCATCATGAGGGTAACACAGCACCCGCAGCAGCAGTCACATCTGACGCTGGAACAGCAGCACCATGTCACACAGCTGAGCCAGCGAGAGTCCAGTCAGTTACCCCGCAACAGCTGAGTGTAGCTCCCAGACACACTTCCCATGCAAACGGTCGACATCAGCTACACCGCAAAGGAACGATGCTCCCCACCTGAGCAGGCGAAACTCAAGAGCAAAGGTAGACATGAGAAGTCTTAAATGGCAGTAACAAGATACCACCATCGTAAATCGGTTAAATTAGTCCCCTGTCACGCAACATATTCAGTGTTGCAAGACAGAGAAACGCAGCTCGAATGACCCCGGAAGCTGTGAGGACAGCCCAAATCGAGGTTATCTCGTTTCCTCTGGTAGCCACGGAGTCGGTACCTCCGAGGCGTCCGTCCACATGGCGGACGTCACTTACTTGTCGGCGGCGTTGAGGAAGGTGTAGAAGCAGATTGAGGGCAGGTTGTCCGGTCCCAGGTTCACCCGACGCGTGCCCTCGCGCAGTCCCTTGCCCTTCTCTCGCTTGTCGATGTCACGTCTGTGGGCACGGTGCGTCGTCAAGCCCCGCCCGGCCCCAGGTTCACCCGGCGCGTGCCCTCGCGCAGACCCTTGCCCTTCTCTCGCTTGTCGATGTCACGTATGTGGGCACGGTGCGTCGTCAAGCCCGCTCGGCGACGGTGGCGACTCTCCTCGAACCAGGTGACCACTCCAACCTGTGACAAATGACTGTCTGCGCTTGGATACCACAGCTGTATCGGACGGGGACGAGGTTCGGAGGTGTCACTCACAGGTCCGGCAGTGGAATGCGGTTGTTGCTTGGCGCGTTCGGGTCGTTCTTGCTCTTCTTGGAGACCAGCGCGTCCTTCTTGGCCTTCTTCTTCTTGGGCTTGTCGTCGCCCTCGGCCTCGTCGTCCTCCTCGGCCGGCACCGTCAGCTGGATGTCGGGCTCCTTCAGCAGGCCGTACAGCATCTTCGACTTGTTCACTGGCGACAGCGCACGTCAGACAGTCAGCTGGCGGCCGGGGCGAGCGACGACCGCAGCCACTGCCCGCCGCATCGCGGGACCCATGCCGGGTCCGGACACCGACACGGCCGGCACGCTGACATACCCGCATACTATCGAACATCGCTGACTTTCTGCATGCAGCCTAGGAATGCCGAAAAATTGGGAGCTGCGGCCCTTTCATGCTCATATAAGCAGATTGAGTGAGTTCTTGCAGACACCACCAGGCTCGTTTCCGTCAGCGTTAATTTCTGAGGGAAAGGTATGTTTGGTTTGTTCTCCACACAATTGCCACTAACAAGCTGAGCGCAAACAATGATTCCCACAATGACAGACCACAAAACCTTTAGATCTTCAGTTTCACGCTCTCTCAAGTGAGCTATTTCGGCACACTTTACCCCATTCAGGCGATTTAACACGAGCGGCAAGGGCCCCACGACCTTCAAAACACCCAGGTTTTTCAGACAAGCCATCACAAGTTGTCTAGAGAAAGGAGTAAAAGGCCTGCTCACCTGCGAATCAAAATACATTCCGTGAAAAACACCGCCCAGAGACTTCTTTTCTCCACTCTGTCACGACCAACACTGGACACCTCAACAGTGACCTCACTGCTCCCCACCCACATTGACTTCGCCATCCCTAACGCCACTCCGCCAAACCCTGCCAACCAGGATCGGCCTCCAGTGTGCCAGATTTGCGATGAGTGTGCACGGACATGGCGTACGGTATGTGTGTGTGCCGTGTGGTGCTATGCACGAACAATAATCCCGGCAGTGACGACGCAACACAAAACTGCCGAAACCCGGGATCGAACCGGGGACCTTTAGATCTTCAGTCTAACGCTCTCCCAACTGAGCTATTTCGGCATGTCCTACATATGTTCAGGCGATTCGCAGCACCGACAAGGACTCGGTGACCGGTCCACGACTGAGGACAATCAGAGAGTTTGTCGGGCAATCGCGGGCGACCTCAAGATGCCCTGCGCTCTTATCTCCTGACCAGACACATCGTATTTCCACACTGACGCTCAGCCTTCCTCACTGGTCCATTGTACTCCTCACTCCTGACCCTACACACCTCCTCACTGACATTGACCCTTTTCACTGACCCACTGCATTCCCTCAGCACTGAACCTACCTCCCTCCCCACTGGCACTGACTCCTCTTCACTGATCCACTGCCTCCCTCACTACTGACCCTACCTACCTACCCACTGGCACCAACCCCACCTCCCTCCCCATTGGCACTGACCCCTCCTCACTGATCCACAGCATCTCCTCAACACTGACGCCGCCTAACCCTTCACAGGCACTGACCCCACCTTCCTCCCCATTGGCACTGACCCCACTTTCCTCCTCATTGGCACTGACCCCACCTCCCTCCCCACTGGCACTGACCCCTCCTCACTGACCCACTGCATCTCCTCAACACTGACCCCACCTTCCTCTTCACAGGCACTGACCCCACCTCCCTCCCCATTGGCACTGACCCCACCTCCCTCCCCATTGGCATTGACCCCTCCTCATTGATCCACTGCCTCTCCCCGAAACTGACCCAACCTACCTCTTCACAGGCACTGACCCCACCTCCCTCCCCACTGGCACTGACCCCTTAACACCGGTCCACTGCCTCCCTCACTACTGACCTTACCTACCTCTTCACTGGCAATGACCCTGATCCCTGGCTCTTGATACCTGGTCCCTGACCGCCTAACGCTGCCAAACGGACCCGCCCTCCAGTGTGCCAGCCATGTGCTGTGTGTGCACGCACACGGCGTACGATGCTTTTGTGCCGTGCACGAACAATTATTCCGGTAATGACTGGCACAAAACGCTGCCGAAACCAGGGATCGAACCAGGGACCTTTAGATCTTCAGTCTAACGCTCTCCCAACTGAGCTATTTCGGCACGGTTAGCACACAGTTGAGGCGATTCGCACAAGCGACGGGGACATTGTCGCCTTCACGAGGCTGAGGGTACTCATACATCTAATCAGGCCATTAACCACATCCCCACCGAAGGCACAGTTCCAGATGTCCCCGGTCCGGATCAGCAGCAGGACGCACAGGGGTTCTCTGCTACGCCCTGGAGGGCTTGCACGAGGCTGTGCATCGCGTCAGCAACCAACCCAAGCCCATAATCACGGCATCGACAACACCCCTAGTGACAGCAACTCCAGCACAAAACGCTTCCGAACCACTGGCCGCTAACCACTGACCCCACCCATGGTTGACGCTGACCTCGCCACCGACCCGAGCCCGAGCCCAGCACCCCCGCTCCCCACCGAGCCTGACCCTGTCTGCCGGGGTCGCCTTCGAGCGCGCCGGCCGTGTGCTGGATCAGCTGGCGGCCGCGCGGCACGCCCTCGAACACGTCCATCAGCAGGTGGTCCTGCACCAGGCCCGTCAGCAGGCTGTGTTGCTTCTCCGTCAGGTGCCGCTTCAGCATCACGTAGCTGTCGCGGCACATCCGCACCGTGTACTGGTTGGAGCTGCCGGGGCGGCGGGCGTGCCGTTAGTGGGAGGGCGGCGTGCGTCGGCGGCGGGGCGGCGCCGGGTGGGCGCGTGCGATGTCAGCCGGGCGTCAGGCGGGGAGGCCGCGGAGCAGGGTCAGAGACAGGCGGCACACACGCGCAAGGCACCATCCTGACGTGGCGAACTGCATCCGCCTGGTGTGCACACCTCGTCCAGCAGTGCTGTGCATACGAATTACGGACATAAAGGCGTGTGATACCGAGTATCTTGCAGCCTACGCCCAATACAGGACAGATCAGACATATCTCGGCAGATCAATGTTGAGAAGCAATAGGCAGACTATCACACTGATTATTCTCTCCCCTTCTCTCCTGCTGCCAGGCATCACTTTGCGCCCGGCCTCAAGGTACCCTGACCCCTGTGGCCACCCACAATCACACTGTAATTCAGCTCCCCACCCACCCACCCTCCCCCTCCCCCCCCCCCACCCCCCCCCCCACCCCCAAGCATGTCTCCTAACGCCGCCACTGCTCCCTTCATCAGCATCCAGCTCCTCCCTCGTGGCGCGGGTCAGACCCCAGACCCCTCAGACCACACGTGCTCCGTCACCAGCTCTCCCTCCGCGGTGTTGGTCAGATCCGAGACCCCTCAGACCACACGTGCCCCGCCACCAGCTCCTCCCTCGTGGTGCGGGTCAGACCCCGGATTCCTCAAACCACACGTGCTCCCTCACCAGCTCCTCCCTCCGAGGTGCGGGTCAGACCCCGGACCCCTCAGACCACACGTGCTCCATCACCAGCTCCCCCTCCGCGATGCGGGTCAGATCCCGGACCCCTCAGACCACACGTGCCCCGCCACCAGCTCCTCCCTCGCGGTACGGGTCAGACCCCGGACCCCCTCAGACCACACGTGCCCCGTCACCAGCCCCCCCCCCCCTCCGCGATGCGGGTCAGGCCCTGGGAGCCGACACTCACCGGAAGTGCTGGATCAGCTCGTTCTCCTGCATGTGCTCGCGGCGCGTGACGTGGCTGAGGCGCTGCACGTCCGCCTGGAAGAAGTCCTCCTGCTCGCCGCCGAAGGCCGTCATGAAGCTGGCCGCCTCGGCCGGGTGGTTGTTGTACACCAGCTCCAGGTACATGTGCACGAACACCGGGAACAGCAGCTGGCCCAGCTCGTACTGCGACGCAGGGGCAACGTCGGTCACGGCAGGTCACGTGCCATGCTGCCACGTGCCATTGTCGTGGTGTCGCATGTCGTGGTGTTACGTGGCGTGGTAGCAAGTGTTCTGGTGTCACATCATGGCGTCATGTGTCATGGCATCACGCGCCATGGTGTCATGTGCCATGGCATCACGTGTCATGGTGTCACGTATCATGGTGTGATAAGCATGCTGTCAGTTGCACGTGCTACCGTGTCCTGTGAGTCATGGCACCACGTGTCATGAATCGCCATGTTAGCTGTTGCGGTGTTACCGGTCATGAGTCGCAAAGTGGGTGTCACAGCGTGAAATGCTACCGCGTCCCGTGTTACGGTGTTAACCGTTTAAGCCAAGAGGCACGATATGACGTCTTAAAGTGTCTCGGGTCACATCGAGTACTGATCTGCCTACTGTTAGACATGGCCACAGTAACACGTGTTACAACACTGAGCACTATGTGTCTCATGTATTTTTGGTAAAAGGAAACGTGGCACACGTCGTCACGCGCCCTTTAATGGAGCGCCGGCGACTGCAGAGGCCTATTAGAGCTCAGAGGCAGTGATGACGCTCATTCAAATTCCATTCGAAACTCAGACCGCCACATGGGGGCCGACAGCGCTGACCACGCGGCCCTGACGCCCCCTGCAGCACATGTGCCAACACAACATCAAGGTGACATAGTGTCAAGTGCAGGGCGTCACGCCGGTCACGTGCTGCAGTGTCACATTCAGTGCTTGCCACCTGACAATCAGATGACCTAACGACCCGGAGCTCGTCCTGACGTTATCCACCCCCCCCCCCCCCCCCACCCCCTCCCTCACCCCCCGTCATTCATCCGGGCTGACCTTGTAGATGTCGAGCGCCTTCTCGACGAACAGCTTGAGGTTGACGTAGTTGCTCGTGTATGCCTCCGGGTCACCCTCGCTCTTGTAGACGGAGAGAACATTGCTGACGTCACCAGGACCGGGGCCGCCGCTCGTGCCGCCGCCCACGCTCTCGAAGAAGCCGGTCTCCTTCCTCAGGGCATCCTCTGCACCCTGGTGATGTGGGCATGGTCGGCAGGAGGTGGATGTATAGGTCAGCCACACAGCAAAGATGTGAGGTGGAGGGCACCTCAGACATGCTGCACAGCTCCAACACAGATGATGAGAGGTGACACAGCCCCAGGATAAAAACTGTTCCATATCTACCATCACCACGCAGACATCAGCTTGGGAACCTGTTTTAGTGCTTTCTGAATAAAAAAGAAATAAGTGCAGTTACAGTAAAATCAATGTATCAGTTGCAGAGTTTTAAGCAGCAGCCAAACTAAGCCAATGAGGCAATTCAAATCTAGAGGCAGTCTGTGCACATATAAAATTGAAATCAACATGATCTTTATTTACAAACACCAGTTATTGAAACATAATAGGACATTAACAATGATTATGGATAATACAGAATTGTGCTTACCTGCAAACTATTTTTGTTCAGAAATTGGAGAACTGCCACCAGGGTGTTTTTATCAAGTCCCTTAGGCTCTTGGGCTGATGGTATCTGATCCATAATGAAGTCTGCTGCCAGGCAACTGAAACACATTCAGCCTAGATAATGAAAATGAGAAATAGCATGACTGATAGGAAAATATTGCAATTGCCTGACTCCATACTTCAGTTGGTTTGAATACCTTCCTGACCATAAGCCTACCTGTGGTGGGCTGAGCTCAAGTTGCTATTGGCATTAGCTATGGCACCAATACAGAAGTCAGCATGCCAATAACAAAGTAAAGAAAGCTGTGGCTTTTCAAAACACTGGGCATGCATTAGAGAAATGTTAACATCTTGCTGACATATCCAGATCTGGAAATGAGTTGACAATGAAGGTACAATGACATAATTCTGCTAGTTTATGGTTGTGCAAAATTCAATTCCAGCCCTCACATTTAAATGCCACACCACTCTCGCATTTCCTTATTCCATTTGGTAGTTATATAAGTTGCCACAAAAAGATGATTAGCAGGTACTTGCATCTATATACAAAATAAATCATTTCTCTTTAGGAGCAGCAAGAAAGACATAGACTGACTATGGTTAGCATGTCTGCCTTACTTTACCAGGACAAAAATTAAATAATCATGATAATTATGGCAGACAGCTTATAATGCTAAGGACACATACTGATACACCAAGGCCATCACAATGGACCAAGATCAGCTCATGCTATTTCCAGGATGGGGTTCTGCATACCGATCAGTGATTTATTGAGCCAGCCTAATCATAGGATTTTCTGCCATCTGCCAGCCTAATCATAGGATTTTCAAGAAAGGATGCACATTCTCTTTAGCAGCATGCTATTGCAGAGTGGAGCAGCCTTTCAGACATCTAGGCAGTGAGCAGCTCTAAGGGCTTCAAAAGGAAATGAACAATTGCAGGTAGATATAAATTTCAGTCTCTTGCTGTGAAACTAGATTACTGTGAAACTGATTTGGTTATGGGTCATCCTTAAGATCACTTCATGACACCCCTGTGACCATGACATCTTTGACTCAGTTCCCTTTCCAAAATTACATACTATGTCTACTTGAAGATTATCATTGCTCCAAACTCTGAGCTGGCTCTTCTGTTTACTCAAACTGATCAGTGGACTTGATTCAATCCAGGATGCAGATGAAATTGCACTGATTGGCACGCCGACTGTGGGCTGGCCTGCTCTAACACACGTGCAACACCATGAAATTACAGACAATTTTCACTCCCCCGTTAACTGCAGCGGACCAATTCACTCTGACCGCTTTAATCGCTAACCAAACACCCCTTCCATGCGATACCCACACAGCCTCGCGGCCTTGCTCTACGAAGCCCCCAAGTCCGGCATCACGACCCGTGAGCAACGGGATGAGGTGAATTCGACGATACTAAACGGCGACACGTCTCTGCGTTTCTGGCCAATCACGTTCTTCAGCCACGTTCATCAGAGGATCATAGTCAGAAATTTTACTGATGTTCAACTGGCTGTAAACAGGTTAGTATTTGCCTCTCACGCTAGATTATATCCAAGTCCTTGCATAAGCTAAATAGTGTCGTCATAACTAGGTTTAGTAGCTTGAACTACAAGTGCAGTATACAAATTTTAAGGTTTGTTCTGAATTTATGTAGAAAAATTTTTGATCCATCTACTTAGTAACAAAAAATAGATGTTTTGTGAACTTTGATGACATCATATGATATATGTCTTGCTTTCAATTGTCTTTGCTCTGGCCTTTAAGGGACAAAAGTAGAGGCTGTGTGACGAAATAGAAGAACAAAACAGTCTGGGTGCAGTGCTGGCTCCCAGTTCATGAGGGATCTGGTTCTGGTCGGGAGTGGTGGTCGTGAGGGGGCGTCGCGTGTTTGCCATTGTGCGGAAAAGGATTCATCTGTTTGTGCGTGGCTGAAATCCCTGCCAACACTTGACAGGAGTTTTGCATTTCGGTTGAGTGATCAGCGTAATCGGTGAGTCCCTTTTATCCCTTTAAAGATGTTCATAGGAAGAAGTGTCACTGTGCAGCGTACGAGACTTCGTCCCTGCATACTCGGATGATCCCGAACTACTTCATCGCCTTGTTTATAGTTTTTTCTAGGTATATCTGGATCATGCTCCATGCCAGTCTGCTCTAAAACCACCCACTGTGCCTTAAGCCCGCGCGCGTTAAGCGCGCTGAACCAGCGCTCGCGTGCGCTGAAACACTGTCTCAGGCCGGCCAACTCACAAAGATGTAGTGCTGCTATTTGGAGAAAAATCGGGACGTTTTTGGCTGATGTTTTCTCCAGCATCATATGTGGTTGAGCAGTTGGCTCTTCTTGAGCTTAAATTAGTGCACCAAGTTGTGAGCTCACATATTTATGGTACGGCACATGTGTGCTTAACCTGTTGCAGCTATAGGGCTGCTATGCAGGACATGTAGCTGCAGCTGTGCTGCATATAGCTGCAACTGTGTTGGCTCTACCACATCCAACCAGATTGAAGTGTGGCAAGGCATTTCTGAGTTAGTGTGTAGTTTCTTGTTCAACTGAATGGCTCCATGCCTCCCCCCCCCCCCCCCCCCCCCCAGAGATATAATCCAGGGAGGCAGCAATTTGTTGGTATATGTTGTAGGTGGCTTTTTACTTATTGACTGTTCAGCCACTCCTCCTAGCTCATTTTTGTATAATTGTTCTATAGTGAATAGTGTTGGAGGGAATGGCAGTAAGACTCACTGGGTGGTAGCTCATAGGGGACTGTCAGTTACCCTTCTTCAAGAGTAGGACTACTTTGTCTCTCTGTGAATAGATCTGTTGAGAAAAGGACAAGACTAACAAAGAACCTGCACATGATCCCAAGGGTCATGCATTGAAGATGAATATATAAAGATTATGTCAGAATGACCTAGGGAAGCTGACCAGATATATTTGGAAAGAGTTTGAGATGAAACTAGTAGTAAACCTCAAGTGGAACCCCAAGGCCTTTTGGAGGCATGCCAACTCAAGACTATGCACAAGATGCAGGGTAGAAGACCTTGATGGTGATGGAGTGCTGACTAGCAGCAACAAAGGAAAGCATAATGTTTTTTTTGCATTTTTTTGCCATTATTTTTATTGATGAAGGGTGTAGTGCCATGCCTGTGATGCCTTGAAACTTTAATGGACCATTTCTGGATGATGTAGACATCTACCCAGATAGTGGCAAAGAAATCAGTTTCTCCCAAAGCGGTCCTGTATCACCCAGCTATTAGAAGTCTTGAGAGATTGGAGTGCTGCAGTAAAGGATGGGGAGCTAGTGGATGTAGCTTACCTGGACTTCAGCAAAGCCTTTGATTCTGTGCTTCATATCTGTCTGCTTCCCAAACTCCATGCTCAAGGTGTGAGAGGTAACTTGCTGCACCCAATCAGGGCTTTCCTCATCCACGGATGAAGAAAGTGTGGGTCCAGGGCTTGAATTCGGATTGGGTGGACGTCGTCAGCGGCATTCCGCAAGGATCAGTGCTTGGACCATTACTACTCATAATCTTCATAAACGACCTACCAGATCAAGTGCGAAGCGTGGTCAGCGTGTTCGCGGATGACACCGATATAAACTGTTGTGTCCCGAGCCTCTTACTGAGTCTCCTGGACAGGTCGACCTCGACGCCCCGGGCAGGCGGTCAGAGGAGTGACTGCTACCCTGTAATGCAACAAAGTACAAAATAATGCATATCAAGAACTGTAACCTGAGACTGACCTGCTTCTTGAACGGTGCCGAAATCGCGGCCGAGCCCGCCGAAAAGGGCTCGACAAGTATTAAAACATAGCATAGACAAACAAAGAATAGACGCTACGCGTCTTGCTCACGAAGTGAGGCACCGGTCGCTGAGAGGCTCAGACTCCTCTATTTACCCTCGCTGTACTAACGTCGTCGCATGGGAGACATGGTTACAGCGTATCAGCTGTTTCACGGAGGTATGTCGCTGTTGGAAGAGAAGTTCCTGACAAGACACGACTCGGAGGTGGCAAGAAAACATCGATGGAAGCTAAAAAAAACTCCGTCGTATCTGGCTCAGCACGTGGGTCGTGAACGATCGGAGCGCTCCTCCACACCCGGTCATACCGTAAACGTCATTTGAACAGTTAAAGTCTAGGCTTGATATGCATTGGGCGGACATTAATTATGACATTCCGCACTGAATCTACCCATAATTTGAGAATGTTTGGTTACCGGACGGGTAGCCTGAGGAGACCGGGACCGACAGACCAAGTGGTCTGTTATAATTCCCGATCACGATAAGTTGAGGCAAAGTAAGTTAAAGTAACTCTGGCCCTCCTTTAAGCCAGGTGTGTTTTAAGTTATCTATCAGTATGTTTTTAATACTTTCGAGCGCCTATTGCTAGTTGTCAGCTCGGTGAGAATAAGAAATTCGGGTAAAAGAATGTTTCAACATCTGAAGCCTATTAAGATAAGATGAGCCAAGATAAATTACCTAAAAAAATGTGATGATTTTTATATACTGATAGCTAGAGATGAGCCCAGCTTTCTTAGGCTAACAGGGATTACCTCAAAGGCTGAATTGCTGCCAATGTTTGCTGTTTTGTCTTCCACACCATATCACACACAATTGACTTATGTTCCTTTAAATGAAACCCGGGATATGCTGGTTGATGTGCTGCCTGCGTAGGGCGTACATGCCTAACATATTTCCAGCTTTAGATCTTCTGATGTTTTTGATCTGCTTATTAGCAGATGTAGGTTTGTTTAAAGTTAATTCAATAATACTAACTTATTTTAGGGCATGTTTACAGTAGACATTTGACTGACATCACCAACAATAGTTTTCAGTTAAAAAATAGTGCAAACCTCTTGAATGAATGAACTTATGTGGCTGTACATCACGCCAAGCAATGCTTGTTGCATAACCACGATCCTTACCACCAGGACGTGAAATTTCGGTTGGATGGCAGAATTTCGCGATGTAAGTTTAACGGGCAATGCTCGGCACGGTCCATCCTGCCCTCTGATATCAGCTGATCTTTAGCACGACAGCTGCCACCGACCGCAGGTCATTCCAGACAAGCGCAAATAGCGAGTGGCTTTCAGCTTATGGGGTTTGGGCCGGTTTTTAAGGGTTGTAAGATAGGCATTTCTGCCTTGGAAAATATTGAGTTATCTTCACAAGTATGGTTTGCACACTCAGTACTCGTAAGGACTCGACGGTAGATTCTGCGTCGCCTCGTGGCTCGACGCTCACACCAAGGCTCCCTGGCTGTCAGCCAACAGCCGCACCGTATAAACTCACTGATCTGGATCGAGACTACACCGGTTCGGGCGATAACCGGGGTCAGGCGTGAAGCGTAGACCCGACCCAGTGTTGGCCCCTTTCGGGTCAAGTCAAAAGTCTTCCGTTACTGTTGGGGGGAGGGGGAGGGGGATCAATGCTTGCTGTTCCATTTTGACCGGGCTTCTTTGAAAGATCGCGGCTAACAACCTTGCGAATGAAACCGAGCCTAGTCTGAACTCAGCAAGTTTCTTTTAAAGCCGGTGTTGTTGAGCTTGGTGCTGACAGTAGGTTCCTGTGCTTTAGGTGCCAGCTGGACTCATTAGATGATATAGTCGCTCACACCCATGTACTGTACTACGTCACACCATGCACTGGGCCACGTTCTGGTCACGTGCCTGGCTTGACGTGTTGTGCTCCTGGTCCAGCTGTGATTGTGGTCAGCTGTTTTGGCTATGTTGGATTGGATCGCCGCCTGGTGCTGTCGGTGGTCGGGCTGCCATTCACACACTGCCTTAAGTAAGGAATGGAGCGGCGTGATGGTTTGGAACAGATTTTTAAGATTGTGACGACGAACGGGCCCACAGTTTCTCGCACCGACCCGCCGGTCACTCACGCTTGTAGTGCACCCTGGAGTCTTGCGGGACAGCCGGGCTGTGATGCTGCGGCAGGATCCCCGGCTCGAGGTCCTGTACGCGTAACATGGCCGACGAAAAACCGTCAATTGGACCGAAGTTGCACTACGTGGCTTGTTGGTTTTATTGTGCACGCAACCCCCCGGTGGGCAGTGCGTACGCGGTCGTCGTAGTGTGAAACCACTGATGTAATGTATTCGGAAGTAAGGCTGAAAGTGAATATTCTATAAAAAGGCTGCCAGCTCAAAGCTGGCTGGGCGCTGTCTGCGCGGTGTGGCGTGGCTCGTTCTCAGTGTGGTGTGTGTCTTCACAGACTGCGAGCACATCAAGCGGCATGGGTTCGGAGAAGAAAGTGTTCTCGTTGAAGGAGGTGCAGCAGCACACCGGGGACCCTGATATCTGGATGATCATCCACAATCGTGTGTACGATGTCACCAAGTTCATGGACGAGGTAAGAGCCGCAGTGGATGGAGTACTACGGAGTGATGGTGGGCGGGGGGGGGGGAGGGGGGGGCGTGGATTGGAAGTTACATTTTTTACGGTAAGCATTTTAACGTGTCCACGGTAATCTTGCGTGCACAAGCGTCTTACTCTATTCTTATTATTCTTGGTGATAAGTTGCGAGTGCGTTTCTGAAAACGCCCGGCGAATTAAAGAATCGGACCCTCAGGCAGTAGCTGATACAGCTGCGAACGGTGCGTTGAGGAGGGTGGCGCACAACGGGGTGATGGCGACCCATCGCCGAACCGGGCAGCTGCCATAGGTCTCACTATCCCGGCGGTCTGGTGGCGCGTTCGCAGCCTTCCCCTGACTGTGTCGCGTAGCATGCGGACTGCGCGTGGCCTTCTGAGGGCCGCATGCTGCCTGCCGTCCGGACACTGGCTGAGGACGCGTGGCTCTTTCTCGGCACGCTACCCGCAGCTGGAGCTGAGCGTCTTGACTCAGGCCGCATCGCAAAGCCCGTTTCCTCACTTGCCGAGTAGTTTACGGAGAACCCCGTATTACGGCGATGTCTGGCCCGGTCTGTAACCAAGGACGGTCTTGTAACGTACTGTGTCGGACTGCGGTGGCCGAGGACGCGTGCTCCATGTCGGTGCGCCACTCGCGGCTTGAGCTGAGCCTCTTGATTCGGGCCGCATCGCAAAGCCCGTTTCCCTCGCTTGCCGAGCAGCTTACGGAGATCCCCGCATAACGGCGATGTCTGGCTCAGTCTGTAACTAATCACGGTCTTGTAACGTGCCGTGTCGGACTGCGCTGGCCGCGGGGCGGCGGCCGGCCGCGGCACGCGCGGGCGCCCCGGGCTGGCGGGCTGCAGCGGTCGTGTGCGGCACCGGCGGACGCCACTCGAAGCCGCCGCCGTTGTCGCTGCGCCGACGTCGAGTCGGCGGAGTTGTGACAGCGCCAGTGGTGCAGCCAGTCTCGGAGACTTCGGATCTGATGGGACCGGCGTCGGTGGCCTCGAGCGATGTTTGGCAGGGCTTTTGAATATCATCGAAAATGCATTCGCCGTGGCGCATTCTCACCGAATTAGGCCATGAGTCGGCCGAATTACAGCAGAAGGTGGTGGGCGGTACCACAGTGGGAGGTGAACATGAAGCGAAGGGTTGTGGCTCGTTGGAGCTCCGGTACATTTCTTATGACGTCCAATCAGCTGCTGCCAGCAGGAACAATTTCAAGTTCACGAACTCCTGATATATGGCTTTGCATAAATTATGGAAGACAGGGGCGTGAGGGTAAAATGGCATCGGTTTCATCAACACCATGGGCAAGTTGTTCCCTTTTTGTGGTGACGCTTCTGCTGGGTCGGCATCACGTGTTGCCAGACGGTCGCTGAGGCTGTCTGGCAACAGCGCGGCGGCTCATGGACACTAGATCGACCCTGCCCGTCTGGCCCACCCAGACTGAACCCCGGCCGACCGGGCGTTGTGTTCAGTCGGCCGCCGTGGCCCGACGCGTCGGCTGCGGTGCGCGACGTGTCGCCGGGCGGGGTCATTAGGTCATTAGCGACCCGGCAGTTGGCCGGCGTGGCAGCTGGCCCGTTCTCTGCGCGGGGATGTGGGTGGGGGTGGGGGCTGGGGGGGCTGACGGATGTGTGTCGGCTATTACCTGCCGGGCGGGACGAGAGGGGGGAGGGGGGGGGGCGGCAGAGGCGGAGGCGCCGCGGCGCCCGGACCGCCGCTGGTGGTCGCCAGGCGCCAGTGTTTACATGACGTGACGCGTCTGTACGTGGAGCCGAGCTGTTCCGGTCACGAGTGCGCGCTGCTGGGCTTGAGGGTCCGGCGCGCCGTCGCCGCTGCCGCGCCCGACGACCTGGTGGCTTTATGGAGCACTGGCCGAGATGGCGCGCGCTGCTGGACTGTAGAGCCCGGCGCACTGTCGCCGCTGCCGCACCCGACGACCTAGCAGCTTTATGGAGCACTTGCCGTCTCGCTGGAGCCGGGCCAGTTCTAATGTTGCACAATTGGTGATTCACGCTCCGACTCGGTCGTCTGCAAATGCCGGGACTCGGCCACCGTCGGGGGGATCTGGCTTCTTATGAAAGCCTGGTGCGCCAGCTTTACGCGTCGATAGCGCGGACGAAGGACGCTTTTTGTGCAGGGTGTCTGTTGTCAGTAAATACGACCGGAACACCGAAACGAGCCAGCAGAACTGCAGTCATGTGTGTGCCGTTGATACTGTCTTTTATGCTCTCCGATCGGTGCTATCCTTGAAATAAGCTGTTTCTCTGCACTTCCCAGGCGTACCGTTCGTGTGAAATGCTTTACAAGTGAAGTGATTGCCTGCTTTATGGCATGCGTGCTACTGGCAGAGTAAAGCATGACCCGTGAAAGGACGTGTCGTCCTGGCATGACCTCTGGTTGACTTTGACCGTACGGGGCAGGGACTCGACCTATCTCTGGATAGGTCGATATGTCAGGAAGGGTCAGCGCCGGGACACTGGAACACGTTTGTTGATGATAAATGACACCCAATACGATCAACTAAACTGTGCTCGTATTTCCACTTGTGAAGCCCACGGTTCTGCTCTCTAATTGGATTCACTCTTAGGCAGCGAATACGTTAGCTGGGACGAGGCGCTCAAAGGCTCGCGCTCTTCTGTTCGCCAGCACCCGGGCGGCGAGGAGGTGCTGCGGGACATGGCCGGCAAGGAGGCCACCGAGAACTTCGAGGACGTCGGCCACTCCACCGACGCCCGCGAGATGATGAAGGAGTTCGAGATCGGCGAGCTGGCTGAGGTGCGACGCTGCGGACCTAGCCGGGGACGGGCGGCGGCGACCCGGCGGAGCGGCTTCACCGTAATCCCACTCACTGGCGTGGCAGGGAGAGAGACGATGTCGAGGCTGCTCTCTCCCCCGCTCTCCCCCTCTCATCGCTGTAATGGTATTGTCGGTACCGGGTGTTGTAACAGTTAATGCGTGCTGTCAAACGGCGCTGGCTCCTCGTTTTGTGCGTACCATAAGCTGCCCTTATAAGCGTGCAGCCAGCAGCATAGCCCACCGGCAGCTGTGAGGTGCTGAGCGAGTGCGACGCTGGGCAGCTGGCGAAGGTATGAGACCCCCTTGTCGGGTGACTAGCCCGCTTCTGTGGCATAAGAGCCGACGTCGTCAGCCGCCTCAGCTCGCCGCCCCTTCTTGTCGATGTCTCGCGATTCGTCCGTACACGGAATGCTGACTGCAAGACGCTATTTCAGCCCACGTGAAATCACCGCTGACAAAGCTGCAGTGCGTGTTTGTGAGGCCTGTGTCCAGGTAGTGATGTGATAGGTCGGCGCCCAGCCGCTTCCAACCACCGGTGGCCTGACCTCACGCGCGGCCCCTGTGATCTCTCGTGCGACCCCCTGGCCTCTCGTGCGAACCCTCTGACCTCTCGTGCGACCCCACTGACCCCTGTGCCGCGGTGTCGGCAGGCGGACCAGAAGACCACGAAGCCGAGCACGCTCACCTGGTCCGGCCCGGAGAGCTCCGGTGCCGGGTGAGTGGAAAGTAACCCCGTGGCGTCACGGTGACGCCCAGTGACGTCATTGGCGATAGCTTACCCCTTTAAGACGCCTGGTAAAGAGGCGGTATAAGACAGCTTATGGCATAGGCGAGGCAAGTAAGATAATTGGTAATGTATGGCAAGTAAGGTATCGCTATAAGCATTGCTAGGATCGCGAACACTATGCGATCGTTTGCTAGGGTAGCCCCCGTGCCAGTCAGGTGAAGCTCCCAGCCATGACACCGGATTATCCAGCGGTTGGGGCGTGGTGGCCCTGGCTGAGTCGGGGACTGATGCACCCCTCTCATGTATGTGGAGGCGGACCCTGGCAGTCGGCCGTACGTGCTATGTGAGTGGATTCGTGACCGGTGTCCCTGTGACCTTTGAGTCACCTGTGCCTCCGTGACCTGGGAGTGGACCCGTGATCTGTAATTCTGTGCGGGCCTGCGCTATCTCGCCCTGCGTCCGCGTGCTCTCCTGCTCCCTGCCAGCCCGCCCCTGCCTCTCTGGACTCTGACCGCTGATAGCCGTGACCTGCTGTGACCCCTGACCTGGCGGGCGGGGCCTGGTCTGACCTGACGCCCGGAACCCGGCCTGACGCGGCGGCCGGGGCCGGGCCTGACCTGGCGGCCGGGCCGGGCCTGACCTGGCGCCCAGGAGCCCGGTCTGACCCGGCGACCGGGGCCGGGCCTGACCTGGCGGCCGGGCCGGGCCTGACCTGGCGCCAGGAGCCCGGTCTGACCTGGCGACCGGGGCCGGGCCTGACCTGGCGGCCGGGCCGGGCCTGACCTGGCGCCAGGAGCCCGGTCTGACCTGGCGACCGGGGCCGGGCCTGACCTGGCGGCGGGGCCCGGTCCCCCGGCGTGTGACCGGCGTCGCTATGTCCGGCCAGCCCGGCGGAGCCGGACGACACCGAGCCGGACGACACCGAGCCGGTGGACGCCTCACGCTGCTGTGGCCAGCAGTAGCGGCCGGCCGACCCGCCGCCGCCCCGTCCGGTCCTCTCCTCTCCCCGCCTCTCCTCGCCAGTGGCCGCGGTAGGTGACCGGCCGGCCCGCCGCCGCCCCGTCCGGTCCTCTCCTCTCCTCTCCTCGCCTCTCCCCGCCGGTGGCCGCGGTAGGTGACTGGCCGGCCCGCCGCCGTCCCCGTCCGGTCCTCTCCTCTCCTCGCCTCTCCTCGTCGGTGGCCGCGGTAGGTGACCGGCCGGCCCGCCGCCGCCCCGTCCGGTCCTCTCCTCTCCTCTCCTCGCCTCTCTCCGCCGGTGGCCGCGGTAGGGGACTGGCCGGCCCGCCGCCGTCCCGTCCGGTCCTCTCCTCTCCTCGCCTCTCCTTGTCGGTGGCCGCGGTAGGTGACCGGCCGGCCGGCCCCGCGGACCGCCGCCCGGCCGGAGTCGCTCTCGGTAATCGGCCGAGCGGGCTGGTCAGGTGGCCGGACCAGCTGTCCCTGATCAGGCCGCCGTCTGGCGCTGATGACCGCCCGCCGGCGTGTTTGTACACGCGTCCGCGGCTGAACGGCCTCCGGGGCGCCCGCGAGGCACCAAGCACAAAAACTCCTAATCGTGCCGACCCGCCTTGACGAAACCACTGCACCCGCACGTCATGGAACGCGTGGGTGGAACGCATAGTTGTCTTGTAAAGTATCGATATGGGGTATCTGTGCCGCCGAAGTAGGCGACACCACAAGGGAACATCATTGTCTGCACGCGGCTAAGTTGGCCTTGCACGTGTTTGCCGGGAATGAGTGGATTGTCTGTGGTGACCTGCATCATTTTGCTGTCGCCTCTTCTGCCGTCGTCAGCTCGGACCCAACGGCGCGGCTTCGCCTGATCACCTCAGAGGGCCATGGGTTCGGTCGAACCTACCTAAAACCTTGCGTTCTCCCCGGATGTGACCCGCTCTATGTTCGCCGCTGAGAGGAGCAGCGCCTCATGACGGCGAGTTCAGCGTCCCGGTGACGTCACCCAGCAGGCGGGTCCCGGTGACGTCACCCAGCAGGCAGGTCCCGGTGACGTCACCCGCCGCCGCCTGTTGCAGCCTGGTGACGTGGCTGCTGCCGCTGGGCGCGGTGCTGCTGGCGGCTCTGCTGTACCGGTACTACGGGGCGTAGGCACTGCCCGCCGACCGCGGCGCCGCCGCACGCAGCGCAGCCCTGCAGCGGGGCAGGCCGCCGGCGGGGAGGAGAGGCGCCGGACGCCGGCGCCGCCGCCGGACGGGACGTCGCTGGCTCGCGGTGGGAGGGAGGCACCCGGGCGAGCACTGCATTCCTGCGAGCGCTGTGGTGCAGCGCGGCTGCGGGGCGGAAGGCGCTAGTCGATGTCGTGGCTGCTGGGTGAATTAAGAAGGTGCAATCGAAGGACCAGGCCTGAACTGCTCTCGTGGAGCCGGTGCTTTGTATGACACCATGCACGCACACCAGCACCGCGGCAAATATTTTTTTTCCAGTGTCGGCGCTGTGGGATATCTGTGGCGCGTTCGTGTTTGTACATGCATGAGTGTGGAAAACGACAATAAACAAACTCAATGTGCGCCGCGCGCTCCGCTCCGGGTGAACGGCCAGCTGTCAAACGCCTCGACGTTTGGCGGTGCGGCAGCCAGCACTGCACGTGGCGTTCCTTCCGCGGGCTGAGATCTCAAGATATCGCAGGTTTACTTGAGATAAGTCGCACAGACTTCCACGTGCCGAAGATATCGCATTTCAGTGCATACGTATGCAGGTGTCGCAATCATTACGTCTCCCCCCCCCCCCCCCCCCCCACCGTCCCTCGTCTCCGCCAGGCATCAGAACCGAGCCTTTCTGGTGCGCCAATCGGCTGTCCGCGTGGTCTCCAAGCAATGGCGGCTTGGTCCGTCGCTCCCAGACGCGGTCGGATGGGCAGGCAGGTGGCCAAAGACGAGTTTGGCGCTCTTTCCGGTGACGTCAACGATAAGAAGAACCGCTCTGGCCTGGCGCCGCTGCTGTTGACACCGCTGTGCGAGTGCCGCGCGGGGTGGTACTGGTGGCGCCAGCTGATAAGGATTAGGAACGGCAACACGATTTCATAATTCGGACCGCAAAAAAGACATCCGCCGGCTTAGTTTAAACATTTTTTCGATATAGGCCATAGTTCACCCCATTCAATACACTACAGCGATTGAATACTTTTTAACATTTTCAGCAGGAACCACATTCGGCACATTAAAATTGCCACATGTTATGCCTTTAAAGCACGGTATGTTCGCTACCGTAGTCCGTAACCAGGCATTGACCTTAGCTTGGTATGCGTGCCTGTCCGAAATCCCTGACGACTGCATTGCTCGTAGATAGATAACTTCTTCAATCGGCTGTGTCAATCAGCTGACCTTCCCTTGCAAATTCTCTTGCCCGGTTCCTGGAGCCCGCCAGTCTTGCTTTACGGTGCGGCCGCCACCGAGCGAAAAGCGCCAGCCCGTACAGGGACGGGCCCGCGGTCCGATCCGCTGCGGGATGCGTAGGACACAGGGAGGAGGGGTCTGTGGAAGCAGACTCGCGTGCACACGGCGCCGGCTTTGATTCGCGGACGCGGCACCAGCTTTGATTTGCGGACTCAATACGACTTTGAGCTGCACTTCGTAGTACGAATGGTTGTGCTACGCATTGTTCATCGGCGTCTCGATTTGACTAGACGGCGCCGCTTCACTCGCGGTTTGCAGCAGGGCCGTTACAACAAGCCTCGCTGGCGCGGATCCTGACTGGACGCGTAACATTGCCGAAGTGCCGGCGAGCCCCCGCTATAACCGCGTGCAAACATTCCTTTCCTCTCGTCCTCGTTTTCTGCGTCGGGCACGCGTCCTCTCCTCTTGTCCTCGTTCTGTGCGGCGTGCGTCCTCTTCTCTCGTCCTCTGCGGCGTGCAAGCGTTCTCTTGTCCTCGTCCTCTTGCGGCGTGCGAGCGTCCTCTCCCCCTCTCATCGTCGTCCTCCGCAGTCGTGCAAGCGCCCTCGGGTGCCGCGGCACCCCGCGGAATGGTGTTCTTTGACCCCCAGTTCATTCCCACAACCGGATCCAAGCAATTGTATTTTCAGTCCACAAGGAGAAACAACGCTTCAGTTGGCACGGGACACAGCCAAAGGTAAATGTGCAAACGCAAAAGCAAGATCTCGTTTAGTATCAACGTCAGTGACTCACAGGTACAACCATGACTAGGCCGACAATCATGGGCTTACAACCGCGGGATGTTCCATCTCGGCAGATCTAACCCAATGGGTTTGCAATAAACACTGACAGGCAACAACGATAGTCAATTGCCCGACTCCGATGTAGATGCCGGGACATCGTCTTTGCGACACGCCGCATCAGACCAAACGCAGCAAGAGTGAACAGAGCCGCAACTGCTCCTAAACGGTCAAAGACGGAGGTTTAAAATAGCCACAAGGATAATTACAGCAGAGAAGCGTGCTGGCATACGAAGTTATTTTGGGGTAGTTTCGTGTAAATCGCGAATTGACCCGACGGCACAGGCCGGTTGGGTCGAACAATCCCACCTGCGCAGTAAGGCACTGAGTAAAGGCCGTGCCGGACAACGCGCCGGAACAAACCACGGGCAGACACCGGCGTAGAAAAGCCGCCAGGCGCGACGAAGCGCCACAGGCCCGCGAAAGAGCTGCGGCCCGCAGGCGAGACCAGCTCGAGCCTGGGTAAGCCACGGGTCACGCCGCCCGCCAGCAGGGACGGCACCGCTTCCCTGCCACACTCCGCTGCAGCGGACGGCAGAGGGCGAGGCGCTTGGGGACCAGCCCAGCCCACAACAGCAGCGGCAGCACGGACCGTTAGTCCGCAAACAAACTGGACTACTAGGCTCCCGCGCGAACGGCGAGGACTATCTAGCGTCGGAACCTCATCAACTCAACACACAAATAACGCCAGAACACTGGCAAGCTTATGGATGCTCAGTCCACTTGGAAAACAACTCGCAAGGCCTCGAGGCGCCCTTTCGGGTTCCGCCGGCAAAATCACCAAAAAGGAAGCTCACAGGGTGGTTCACCCGTATGGAAGCCACCGTGTACAATCGACGACGCGGCTACGCCGCTCTAAAACCGCTCGGGACGAGCCATTCAACAAGCTAAACCAACCAATACGGCTCGCGACGAGCCACCAAGCGCCTGTCCGACGCGGTGCCGACGTGTGCGTGGCGCGTGTCTTTCGCAAACAGCGCCGCAGGGCCAACGCGCTCTGAATGCGCCAGGCGCCTGACGCGTGTCACGTCATTAGATAGATACATGACGTCAGGTGTGACGCCATTAGATGACGTCGGACACGCACCGGGTTCTGACGCGAGCAGGCAGCGTGGCTTGATTACGTTTTACCAAAGTTGCTTCGATAACTGAGAACCACAATTGAGCAGATCTTTGCCAGACCTTCTTCACAGCTAACTCGGCAGCTGGAGCTGTAGGCAGCTCGGGCCAGCCAGGCCACTCCGCGAGAGCACAGGGTGTACGGAAGCACCAGACAGCATGACCACGGAAAAAGCGAGCTGCCACAGTTTCAAATCACCACATCGTTACAGCTATAGCTACCAATACAACCGCTGGCCGTCCTTCGGTGAGCGTGCGTTGACAGGCTCCCAACCTCAACACCGGGCGGTTACATCAACATGCGAGCTCAGCTGGGGACGCGTGACTAGAGGAGCCGTCACGGGTAGAGACGGCACCAGATAACACGGCCCTCGGAAAGCCGAGCGCACAATATTCCTAAAACACCAGATCGTTACAGCTATTGCTACCACCGCTGGCCGTTGCTTTGTGCAAGCGTGCGTTGGCAGGCTCCTAACCTGCAACACCGGGCGGTACATCAACATGGGAACTCAGGGGACGCGTGACCTAGAGGAGCCGTTTGTACCGTGCGTTCCAAAGCCCTGAGAGCGACACCCATCGCACGGTCACCACACCGGCGGACGAGAGCACGACCCTGGGGTACTCCTTAACAGCAACAAAGGGATGGCAAGCAGGCGCGAGCGGACCCGACGCAACCCGCACGCAAAGCAGCAGACCGTGCCGCGCTCGGAACGCTCGGCACTCCCCAAATCTTGATCCGACACAGGATCGCAAAACCAATGAGCGAGTAACCACGTCAATAACAGCTGGCCGTCTCGTGCAGAGGTGTCGTAAGGCGACAGTGGCCGGGTAGATCATCCGCCACGCGCGTCACAGCAGACGACCGCCGGCTCCGCCCGCTCCAGCTGGGCGTCGCCGCTCCAGATGCGTCACAATTGTCCCGGCGTGCACGCGGCCGCGGCCGGGACGTGCGGCCGCGGCGCCTCAGGAGGTCGCCAACCGCTCCACCTTCGAAGACAGGCAGGTGTGCAGCGCGAACACGAACGGCTTCGGCGACGCACCCATGTCCAGCTCCTGGAACGGCGGCGCGCGCTGCAGTCACTCCGATGGCGTCAGCGGTCCAACACGCCATCGACGCGTGAAACGGTCTGAAGCTAACTGCCTCCGTCACAGGCAGCTGTGTCGAACTACAGGAAAATCATAGACGGAGACATCGGAAGTCCCGATCAGCGTTCATGTATGCGTCCCTGCCATCACCTCTGACATCACGAGTAGTTTATCATCGTATCCACATCATTAGCACACCTCAACCCTCCGTCCGACTGACCTGATCGACCGGGGCCACAGATCACCCCCCCCCGGACCGGGACATCACCCCAACCCCCCGCCCTGTCCCCCGGCCTGCGGGGCGTCTCCCGTCCGCGCCCGGCGGCCACGCACCATGATCTCACGGTCGCCGAATGTGAGCCGGACGGTGGCGCGCGGTTCGTCGTCCCAGTGTCGCGTCAGCTTGTCGAAGCTGTAGTGCCAGAGCACCTTGCCCCGCGCTGAGGCCGGGCGCCGAGCGCAGAGTCAGGCCGTTCTCGTGCTGCATCGACAGAAGCAACCGGGACAGTTCCGCCAGCGGCACTCTGCAGGCGGCAGCGGTGAGAGGGACACGTCAGCCACATCACAGCATCATAGCAGCACTGGACAGTTCCACCAGCGGCGCTTTGTCGACCGGCAGCGGTGAGAGGGACACGTCCAGCCGCATCACAGCATCGACACAGCCAGCACAGGACAGTCCGCCAAGCGGCCACTCTGTCGACGGCGAGCGGCCGAGAGGGGACACGTCAGCCACATCACAGCATCACAGCAGCACCGGACAGTCCCGCCAG